GGCGCGGTGGTGGCGGGCGGATGGGCGCGCGAGAAAGAGGCCCGCGCTGGGGCGAGAGCGCCATGATGAACGACGGAGGCCAAACACCGATCCGAAAATGAGGCCCACGCTGCAGCGGGAGCACGATTCGGAACGATTCGGGAGCAGAAATGAAGCCGGCGCCTCAGCGAGATCATCATTTTGAAAAAAAAACGCAAGCGAAAACCCGTTTCCTGGGAATCCTGTGTGTAAAAAAACTGTACGCGGGGGGCATTCGGTCCGAAAATGAAGCTGGCGCCTCAGCGAGAGTCGTTTCCCGGGAATCCTGTGTGTAAAAAACAATACGCGGAGGGTGCGCGGCCAAAACCCGGACGCCATCAGGGGAAGAGGGAGAGTATTTTCATATTGAGTAATTGTGGAGGGGCAAGCTAGGTGCGCTCGCGTCATATCTGACGTCCTACCCCTCCCTCCCATCCCTTACCATGGCGCTGATTTTCTCTATCCGCGGACGCGTGTCGTAGCGGACCTGTGGCTCCGCGCGCGCGTGCGTAGTGGGTGGTGGTGCACGTGCGTGCGTGCGTGCGTGTGTGCGTGGTTGTCGTGGTGGTGGTGGTGGTGGTGGTGGTAGTGGTGGAGGTGGTGGTGGTGGTGGTGGTGGTGGTGGTGGTGGTGGTGGTGGTGGTGGTGGTGGTGGTGGTGTGGTGGTGGTGGTGGTGGTGGTGGTGGTGGTGGTGGTGGTGGTGGTGGTGGTGGTGGTGTGGTGGCGGCGCGGTGGTGGCGGGCGGATGGGCGCGCGAGAAAGAGGCCCGCGCTGGGGCGAGAACGCCATCCTGAACGACGGAGGCCAAACACCGATCCGAAAATGAGGCCCACGCTGCAGCGGGAGCACGATTCGGAACGATTCGGGAGCAGAAATGAGGCCGGCGCCTCAACGAGAGCAGCATTTTGGGAAAAAATGACGCCGGCGCCTCAGCGAGAGTCGTTTCCCGGGATTTCCCGGGCATCCTGTGTGTAAAAAAACAATACGCGGAGGGTGCGCGGCTATCACCCGGACGCCATCAGGGGAAGAGGGAGAGTATATTCATATTGAGTAATTGTGGAGGGGGGAGGGGTGAGGAGGAGGAGGAGGAGGAGGAGGAGGAGGAGGAGAGGAGGAGGAGGAGGAGGAGGCGGATGATGAGGAGGAGGAGGAGGAGGAGGAGGAGGAGGAGGAGGAGGAGGGAGGGAGGAGGAGGAGGAGGAGGAGGATGGAGGAGGAGGAGGAGGGAGGTTCGAGAATCGACGCTCGATGGGCTGGACGTTCGTGCCCTTCGTGGGGCGCTCTCGTGGCCGCGGCTGGGCACGTCTTCGAGTTCTGGTCAGCTCGCATCCCTGGAGAGGCCCGGGGGAGGGAGGGGGAGCGGGAGGGGACAGGTTACCAGCCTCGAACGTATCCCTATCCCTAAGATTGACACACCAAAAGGCGATGCCAATCTTAGGGATTCGCCCTCAAAAAATAAGGGAATCCCTAAGATTGGCATCGTGATGAGGAGGTGCCCAGCATAGGGATAGGGATATGTTACAGGCTGGTAATGGGGGAGGGAGGGGGAGCGGGAGGGGACAGAGGGGGAGGGGAGGAGCCAGATGGCTGCAGGCGAAACCGACAGAAAAATGCGGATCGCGTACCGCTTTGGCTTGCAACGAGATGTGCCACGAGACAAGCTTCGACAGAAGCTGCTCACTCTTCGGCAACAGGACAGCTCTGGTTTGCAACGAAAGGCGCCGTGGAATACGTCTCAATACAAGCTGCTGGACTTTCGGCTGTGGACGACAGCAGGGGAGCGGTCGGAGGAGGATGTAAACGTTATGAGGAAGAGCGAAAGTACCAACAAAAAGAGGATCGGGAAGCGGATGAGGAAGAGGAAGAGGAAGAGGAAG